TCAGGGCATGGGTAACTCACAGATTGAACCCTGAAACAACCTCTGGGCTGATCTAAGTCAGAGCACAGAAAATTCGCAGATCGGATTAGAATTTTTTCAATTTGTGATTTTTGCGGAGGTGAAACGGAGAAATCCCCTTAGATCAAGGAAGAGACCTAACACAGGATACTAAGATGTGATGGTGAGTCCAGGAAACGAGATGTAAAAAGKCATGGCTATCTACTTACAGTTTGTTTGTCAGATTCCCGTAATTCCATCTTTACACTCAAACCACGCATGACCATATCTGCCCTTGTTCCCTTGACAAGATAACTTATTGTAGAATATGGTGTAAAGTGAAACTCCTCCTTGATAAATCCCTTCAATAACAGATGAACAATCAGCCTTTCACACTGGTCTTGGGTAAGACTTGGTGGAGTAATTCTCTTGATGCGAAGAACTGGAGGTCCCTTSCCCTTCCAGGCTTCAACCAGTTTATTTGGAGTCACTCTTTCACCAAGGCTCTTGGCTTGGGACAAAATTTGTATGATGTTGCTTGTGTATTCTGTTATGTCAGTGGATTCTACTGTCACTGTTGAGAGAGAAATGAGAAAAAAAGCAATGATATATTTTAGTTGAGTTTGTGCAATTAGTTGTCATTCTTTCTTCAAAACAATTTTTTTGAAACATGAAAGTAGATTTTAATGGACGTCTAACAAGGCRTTTCAATGACATTTCAAAGGAATATGAAACACTTTGATTGCCATCAACTAATCTGGTAAATTGTATGATTTTGCTCATGATATACAGAACCACTGTAAATGCATTTAACTGTAAAATATTKGAATATTGCGTAGTTCCAGAAGTTATCCATACCCCCTCCCCCCATAGAAGAATTTGGAATTTCCGGAGGAAGGGAGGATAATTTCCGTAGCTACACATTCTTAACACATTCTCACCATTAATTCCCTCTGTTTGTTCTGAACAGTGATCACACATGTTTTGGCAGTTTTTTGGATTCCATTGTTCTCCAAAATACTGACCAATCACAGCCCTGCGGCACATTCTCTCCTCTTGACAATATCTTAAGATGTTATAGAGATTCTGGATTCCTTCGAGAAATTGGAACAACAGTGTAATGTAGAATTACTAGCAGGTTGTGATAATAATTTTGATATTGCCAGTAGCAATGGTCTAAGCAGGGACATATCCAGGGGTRGTAAAAGGRATGACTAGTCACTTCCCTYTTGCTCAAATTCCTGGTGAAACCTAGTYACAGTCACCCCCCTTCTAACATTCCTGAATCCACCCCTGCTACGTTTGTAGTGATTCAGATACCTGTTTGCTCAGTGAACACCATTGGTAGTTGTCGAAAGGCATCAAAAGGCCTGTAATAAAGAATACAAAATGATGGCATATCATCTCGTCCTGCTCGTCCACTCTCCTGGTAATAGTTTTCCATTGATTTACTGAGGCTGTGATGAATCACAAAGCGTACRTCAGGCTTGTCGATGCCCATGCCAAATGCAACTGTAGCAACTACAACCTGAAATGAATTGTAATAACCATCTGCATTATTAAATGAAGTTTTCACATCTCTTTCAATTTTTAATTACAAARCATTCATGAAATTAAATTGCAACAAGAATAAGCATCCTTAGAAGATTTTTTGTGTGCATTGTGTTTGGTCTGGCAGTGMCATGAACTTGTCCATGCTGTGTTCATGTTTCAGATATTTGATTGGATGAAGAGTAAATTCTTGCATAATGTGATGGGGCTGGTGCATGCCTTGCTATGTYACGGCCGTGTTTGTGCTGTAAGGTTTTTCACTGTCAACAACATTGTCACCRAGAAGAAATAACCTGTGGCTATTGATCCATTATTATATTGCAAAATATGCAACTTCCATAATTGCAAAATAACACGTCATGAAAGTTTGTCCTAATTCATTAGGGAAAAAAATATTTAATGAGTGTGAAAAAGGTTTTCTATTAGTTTTAGTCTCTTTYGTTTCTAACCTGTATTCTGTTTTGAGTCCATTTAAGGTGAATTTGGCTGCGTTGTGCTGAAGGTATATCAGCATGGTAACAAGAAGCTTTGATGCCGCGTGTTGTGAGTTCTTTTGCCACTTCTTCTGAATCATTTCTTGATAAACAATAAATAATGCCTGAAAATGTGATGCAAGAATAAAGTGAAACAGCATTTTGTTGATGTACAAATGATGGGTTGTTGACTGGTAAATATTGTCAATAGTTTATTTGAAGTATTTTGTATAGGCTGATGTTCTTTCTTCCTCAATAAAATTAGACAGGTTTTTTCTCATTTTATTTAAAGTCTAATACCCCATTCACACCTAAACGTGTTTAGTTAAACTATGTTTTCATTAGGAAAAAAAATTGAGAAACTAAAAGCCTACAATATACTGAAACTTTCTAAAATATTGTCAGAGCAAGACAAAGGATAGCTTACATGCATTAATTATTTCACCAAATATTGTGCAGTGTTCATAGATAGTTTTCCAAACCTGTTTAGTTAAACCACTTTAAAACATGTTTAAGCCTTGGTGTGAATGGGGTATAAGAATAACTTACTATTAGGTGAACTGAATACCTGATTGSCCAGAGAACTTTGACAAGATTAAACTGTGAATGTCATCCATGAAGTCTTTACTACTGGGTGGTTTATATCTCACCTAYAGTAATAAAGGATAAAGGTGGGTGAATGAGTGTGGGTCAATGAGTAGGTCACTAAGTGAGAGCATAAGGGTAAAAAATGGTAAAGCTACAGGTCTATATTTATGTAATGTCAGTATCTCTGCTTACTAACCAACTGAGCTATGCCTTCTCCTACAACCAAATGGGTGGATGGGTAGGAGAGGAAATAAATGAACAGATCGAATAGCTGAATGAGCTATATTTAGTATTATAAAAATTAATACCTCATAGAATAGGTTATGCCTGTTAAATGATGCCCTCAGCATCACACAGTCTGGTTTAAGATCTAAGATCTTCTTGACATCTTCAATCACTTTAGTAGTTGCTGTTGCTGTTAGTCCCAGTATGGGTACCCCTGGGTATTGTCGTTTCAATATACCAAGAATCTTGTAATCTGGGCGAAAATCATGACCCCATTGACTTGTACAGTGAACTTCATCGATTACTATTCTTGAAAGACAACCAGCTTGAAAAGGAAAATAAGACAAGTATTTTCTATTTTAAACAATTATTTTATAGCTAGATAGTAGCATTAACAAAGCATTAACTCTTCTCTTTCATAGCCAGAATGTACAAAAATATCTCTTGTTGGCCGAGAACAGAGCACAGTTATGTTGTGGGCAGCATCTGTTAATTAACATGCAGCCTCCAAAAGTAGCACTTCTCTTTCATAGCCAGAATGTGCAAAAATTTTMTAATTTTATTGTGATAAATGTGTCATAAATGCCCCTCAAAACAGTGCAAATCGCATTTCTGAGGGTCTCAATTTCAATGGGGGTGGGGGGGGTTATGTCCCTCAACCCTCGGAGTTGCTCCCACCTATGGCAGGCTGACTTCCTAAATTAGTGCTGGACTCCTTCCTGGGTTGAGTTGGAATTTATAACTTTAACAATACTCACCTTCATAACATTTTTCTAGTTTTGCCATAAACCTTTTACTTTTGGCAATCTTTTCAGGTGTGACGTACAAGATCTTCAAGCCAGATTTCTTGTCCAACATGGCGGCATGGACTGAGTTCACTTTCTCCCTAGTGCTATCTGCACTCAACATTTCGCTTTTAATTTGAAGTCTCTCTAATGCCATCAATTGATCTTCCATCAATGAAACCAGGGGGGAGACAACTAACGTTAAACCTTTTGAAACGACGGCCGGAAGCTGAAAACACAAGCTTTTGCCCCCTCCGGTGGGCATTATAAGAATACAGTCACAACCAGACATGGTAGCATTAATGCATTCTAATTGTAATGGACGGAATTTACCGATATTGAAGATGTTTTTTCTKGCATCTTCAAGCTCGGCAGACCAAGGAAAAGAAGTGGCTTTGAAATCCTGTTTGGTCTTGTGCTGAGGATGGCCTTTTGACGTCGATTCTTCATGACAAAAACTCAAGTTATTTTCAATTTCATTCTTCCTTTCTACCAAGTACTGCTGCCTCTCTAAGAGAAGCGTTATTTGGCTCCCTATCTCTTCTAATTCCTCATTAATTTCTTTCAATTCTTTCGAACTTTCCATTTTTTCATCTTTCGTTTTGAAAGAACGATTCTGTCCAGGCGTTCTTCGACTAACCGCGTAGCATTGGTACGTAGCCCCACCACAGGAACCCCAAAAGAGACGCAAAGCTGTATTTTATTTCCAAGGTATTTGTTCATAGCTTAGGATCACCCAAAATCYTTATTGATAGGAAATACCTTTATAAAAATCAAAATTAAATTGAGTAAATTTGGAGTTTAGTATTTTTTGTTATTTTCTTGTGGGTGTACAGCGGTTATTTAGTGAAGGTATGCTCARAGTGTTTTAGCGCATGAAGGATGCGCATGCGTATTAGTGCATTGGAGGGTTGGTTTTTGTTGCACATGGACGCGATTACACGCAAGAAGTCATGATTCTATTCAAAAAAACACCCCAAAAAGCCTTTCCTTGACCACAACAACACTGAAACATTGATTAATGGGGGAGATAGGAGCAATGGTTGCCAGGTTAGAAGAAGAAGGACTGGATCTTAATCGGTTAATTGACGATGAACTTGAAGCAGTAGGTTTCTTGTCTTTGTGTTCAAGGTACGACAATAAATTTTAAATGTTGGTTATTAAGAATCTTAGATTGAAATAAACTGTTGTTTGTCGTATTATCTACGAGTGCTCACTTTAATACACGTAAATAGGGGTTTTAACGTTAACAAAGTTGTAGCCAAATCATGATTTGAAAAGAAGCGAAGCAAGACAACTTACTATTGATTAGATTAAATTAAACAACAAACCTTAGCTTTAAACAATAAACTAAATTTAGGAAGTCTAAAGTATCAGATGTATTGATTTGTATATCATTTCCCCCAGACTTAGACTGGCTATTAACAAACTAGGTTATTCGTAAAGTTAAATGCTTTTACTAACGGGTTTTTGTTATTGAGATATAAGTTTCAACTGTTTACAAAATTTACAACCAAAACATTACAAAATCTATTAACATATTTTCTATTGTTTTCTTTACGACAGATCAACTGCTTCTCTTTCAAACAGAGCAGATGTTATTTCTGGTGAGTTGTAAATATATAAAACACAAGCACACAATATATGAAGCTCTACTTTGAGCAGAATTACATTTATTCATTGGGTCATTATAAATACAGTGAAGTTCCATATTATGAATCCCAGAGATATATCTCAAAGCTGAGGCTGCATCTTGTGCACTTGTAGCACTACAGTATTTTGCCCTTGACATATTAGGAAAGCACGAATGGTGTGCACTGTTAATATGCCACCTCTTACCAATRTGACCCGGGTTCAAGCYCTGCATGCTCAGTATCATATAAAAACGTCCTTTTTTCACGAGGGTAGCACTTAATAGCCAGTGGCTAACAGACCTGTGGCCCTCACTCCATGATCGAATTRGAATTTAGTAGTTGATTTTTGCGGAAGGAGGAAAACCGGAGAATCCGGAAAACCCTTGAAGCACAGGAAAGAACCAACCAACAACTCTACTTATATACAACACTGAACCAGGCGGGACTCAAACTCGGGTCACATTGATGAGAGRCGAGTGCTCACACTGCTACGCCACCCATGCTTATGTGAGTAGAGTTGTTCATTAGTCCTCTCCTGTGCTACAAGGGTTTATCCTCCCTCCACAAAAGCAATTTGACCTATCAGCTGCCTTATCATTGGTTGTTAGGCATGTGTGGTCTGAGATGGGTAGACATAACACAGAAAGAAAATGTCAGTGAAAGTGTATCAGTAGATGTATGATATTCTGAGGTATTTGGGATGGAAGTGAATCAATGCTTAACATTCCTTTTTCTTTTCAACAGGTACTCAAAATGAGCTCAAAAGTCTTTTAAAGTCAATAGAGGACCAGCTGCGTAAGATACAAAGAGAGGAAAATCTCCCTCCAAGGTTTGTACATCCAAAATAGGACAATATACCATTACATCACTCATTCGTGTTGCAGTGGTAGCTTAAATCTATGTGGATTGATTTCTTGGTTTGAGTTTTGGCTTGGATCTGGTTGGGTAGGGCTTAAAATAATGGCCGATCAGTCACCGGTCATGATCACTGGCCAAATTAGTTTTAACTTAGTTGAATCTCATTTCTGGCATAACGTTAATGGTCAAAATGACCGGCAAGGCAAACATAAGACCAGACAAGTCCCATTTCTGTCCAGATATTGTCCGATGTCCGACCATTATTTTAAGCCCTGTAGGGTTATTGTTGTCGGAGCCAGAAAGAACAGACAATAGACAATAGGAGATAGTTCATTCCAAAATCAAAGAATAGCTGGAATGACTTGTGTTTCTGCTACTTATCCTCATGAAGAACATGGAAGTTAGTATTGAGATATTCAAAGTTGTTTGTTGTCAACAAAACCTATTTTAAGCCTTGATTATTTGTGATTGTTTAGTTGTATGCCCATAATTCCTTTGAATCATGACCTGATGTCTATCACCTATGTCTTATGGCACCGACAAGCTTTTTGAAATAGGTGTATAAGAATGCTTCCATTGTTTTCTGATAAAAACCCTAAAAATGTCTGTGTACTTCTATCTGTAATATTACAGGTGTTGAAGATCATAGTAGGTATYATCATCAGTGCTGTGCTTGGTTTAATAGATCACTTGCAGTACTTTGGAATGCAACTCAATTTTAAATAACAATAAATAAAGGTTATCAGYCRGCTAAGCATCTGATACGGCTGTTTATTTTTACAATTCACTGAGTATTTTACATTGATAAAATACAAGTGACGTGTAAAAATGCACAGCCCTATCAGATGCTTAGCCGACTGATAAGTTGTTTATCATTTCATTCTGCAAAGAAATACTCAAACTCCCTCTAAACTCTGTTGTACCCTATCTTGAGCAAATGAGAAGTGCTGATAAGGTCTAATATCAGGCATGGTCTTTTCCCGTATCATGCACATTCTTTGCAAAATTAAATGATAAAAATAACATAACAATTCTGAGGAGATTGAAATTCTTTTGCTTTGTTTTCCAAATTGAGCTGCTTTGACGTCACATGCAAGGGGTCTATTGAGCTGCCTTGACATCACATGCAAGGGGTCTATTGAGCAGCTTTGACGTCACATACAAGGGGTCTATTGAGCTGCTTTGACGTCACATGCAAGGGGTCTATTGAGCTGCCTTGACATCACATGCAAGGGGTCTATTGAGCTGCTTTGATGTCACATGCAAGGGGTCTATTGAGCTGCTTTGACGTCACATACAAGGGGTCTATTGAGCTGCTTTGACGTCACATACAAGGGGTCTATTGAGCTGCTTTGACATCACATGCAAGGGGTCTATTGAGCTGCTTTGACGTCACATGCAAGGGGTCTATTGAGCTGCTTTGACGTCACATGCAAGGGGTCTATTGAGCTGCTTTGACGTCACATGCAAGGGGTCTTTATCCTACAGGGGTATTAATAAATCTAATATCATGATTATAAACAGCTGTAAGTGTCATCACAAGCAGTCCCTCAAGTCCCCCAATACATACATTGTAAATCTAGCATAATTCAGCTTGTSCTTTGAAGCTAAAGAAATTTTTAATAGAGTAGTTTTCAAAAACATTTCCAAATTTATGAGTAAAAATTTATTTCTTTATTGTTGCAATAGTGTGTTGGAAAATGAAAAAAGTGACGATAAGGGCATCAAGCACATAATAGTAATAGATGATGAAGAAGAAACCCCTACAAATGACTTTGGCTGTCAAACTAACATGGAAAGTCCCTCTGTTAACATAACAAYATCAAGTGAATCAGAAAGTATTCGTGATAAGAATGCTGCTAGTGAGTCAGTATCTTGTCAACCTGAACCTCAACGGTGCACAGCAACACATGCTACACCAGTTCAGGACAGTGTGGTGCCTTCAGTACCAATCTTGCCGAAACCAGTAACGATGCTTCCTGATGCCATACCCAAGGGTTTGGTGACAGAAGGTGTTATTGCTTATAGAACATTAAAATCACCAACAGAGTCAGGTGTTGCAACAGTTACCAGTATGGTGACGCTGAAATCATCACAGCCGACAATACCACCACAACACCTAAGATCTGTTGCTACACCCTCTATGCCGTCAGCATCTGCCAAGACTTCTATACCAGATACTAGGTAGATAATACGTGATAAACCTTATTTGTCATGGCGTAATGTTTTCCCATTACAGGMMACTTGTCATTCYCTATAGTATCATTTCTTTGTTTAATGTTTGCGCATGAGAAGACACAAGAATATGGATACAACTCAAACAAAGAATCTTATTCTCAAGWCCATGTGTCATTCTCTAGAGTATCATTTCTTTGTTTAACGGTTGCACATGAGAAGACACATGAATATCGATACAACTCAAACAAAGAATCTTATTCTCAAGACCATGTGTCATTCTCTAGAGTATCATTTCTTTGTTTAATGGTTGTACATGAAAAGACACATGAATATGGATACAACTCGAACAAATAATCTTACTTCCAAGAGTACGGCATGTGGTATGTAATGGGAAAACATTGCAMCACAACAAACAAGGTGTATTGGTAAATTATATATACAATATGATTATTGGCAGGGCTGGTGCTACTCATTGAAATCTTTCAAAAACCCTGCAATTCAAAACCATTTTTAAGTGCATTTGAAAAGCCCTTGAAARTAGTAAAATTGCTGGATACTCCTGGAATATGCCTTGMAAATGCTACATTCAAGTTGTCATTTCCAATCTTGCATGAGCAAAAATAAATAAAAACAATAATAAATAATTAAATGCAAACTTTTAAAAAGTCATAGTTAAAATAAAGCCCCAAGCAAAATTGGTCCCTGAAAATTGTAATCTTTGGGCCTTGAAAAGTCCTTAAARAGTCCTTRAAYTTTGTGTTGAAGATGTAGCACGAACCCTGTATATTGTTCATTGCTTTATATCAAATATCTAAGAACATAATTATATATTCTACTATACATTTTTGAGATTGGAGTAAGTTAAATGTTATTAAATGTTTGTGCAGGAGTAACTCAAGCAAACAGGAGGATACCCCTGAAGATGTGCCGGCCATCACACCAACCAGGTCAGTCAGGGATTTACTACACTTTACCATCAAATGTATACCCTAAACTTCTTTGATAGTTTTCGTTTGAAACTAATTGCTGTTTGACAGCAGCCGCAACAGTTTTAGACATAAAAATTAGCGTTTTAATGTGCGGAATGGCAACATTTACAGGTGCACAGGTTAATTACGTTTTGACGTAGGAAACTACGCATTTACTCCTCGTTTCATGTTTTAGTCTGGAATAGACTAGATAAAGCACGCCAAGCAAGTTTTTCATTTCTTTTATAAAATACAAATTAGGATAGCTTTTGGACACTGACAAATTAGAAAGTGTGTGCATGTGGTGTGTGCTCTCATAATTCATGTGCTCTCAACCAATCAGAACAGAAGATTTATAACAATTATATTCATAAAGATATTGAAGAAAAAGAAAACGTGCGCGCGTGCTGTGTGCAGTCATAAAGCACGCACTCCTAACCAATCAGATTGCGTGATTTAGAGCAGTTATTTCATAAAGTCTGATTTAGTTGTGTTTACGTCTAGACCTCCAAGTCCTCCAAGGTTTGAAGAGGGAACAAGAATTATTGGTAAAAGAGCAGATGACTTGTGGTATCCAGGTAAGATGATTGGTTGTCCTGAGTTAAAAAGTGCACAGGGTGACCACAGAAGATTTCTTGCAATATATATTTTTTGCTTCATCAAAAGTATTTACATCATTGAATTGTTGTTCTACAGGTGAAATAATAAAAGTTGTAAAAGATCGTTACAATCAGGTATAGAAATGCTCCATATTGTAGAATAATTACTGGGAGGTGAATACTGAGGTTTAATTGGTTGAGATATTGTCAACATTTTGTTAGAGCTCTAAGCTGATGACACTTATATACAGGGAGTACTGAAGATATAGAAAGCATTTGTGTGTTCTGCGCAGTAATAAAGCATGCAGAACTTGGTAGAACACAAGAGAATGTTAGGAGAAGTACAATCCTTTATACAGTGCTACGCAGTCCACATATTCTCATCTTTGCATCATAATTACCGCGACCAAACATCTATTTCACCCTGACCTGCTCTCAGTCTGACCTCTAGCTCAGCTAGTAGAGTATCAGTAGTACAATTCCGAAGGTCGTGGGTTCGATTCCCAGCGAGGTCAGAAATAAATTCGGAAAAATTAAGGGTCTTTCAACCAAATTGACATGTAACAATAGGACTAGCCAATTAACCAATTATAGCCATGGTTCTTCTTGATTCAGATGAATTTGGATTTTTAAAAAATCAATTAATTAGATGAGTATTAATAGTTTGTACCATTTTGTCACAGGTCAAGTTTAGGGTAAAATTTGACCAGGGCAACAGAGGTTTGTTACGATCGAATCACATTGCACTGGAAAGCAGCCCACCTCTAGATGTTCTGCATGTCGGCAGCAGGGTAGTAGGTAATGGTAACAATGCTATTTATGATTATAGTCCCCATAATATGAGGACTTTGTCACCGAGGGAAGTCTGATTATGTGAATTTTGCATAACTACACKTTTTGATATTCTACGAACTCAGAGATTTCAAGGGCTTTTGTGAAATTGGTTTTTTACTGCAGCAGGTCAAGAATATAAAAGGTACCAACTGATTATTTTTGATTGACGGCAGCGAAAGACCAACTTTCACGGTGCAGCTTGTCACTACTGAGTTTGCAGAATATTGAAAACCATATGTACAGTAGGATAGTTTCATGTTTCGGACAATCTGGTCATTGCCATCTGAATATTGCATTAGTACTCTAGCATCAACCTTAATCAAACTTGTTAACTGTTATTACTATCAGACCTTCTACTTACTATCTCACCTCTGATTGGCTGAGAAGATACAGCCAATTCTCAATAGGATWAAAAAAAATTTGTACAAACAATATATTTATCTTTGACCTTGSTCAACTTTATGCAATGATAGACTTACCTTGGGCATAATGTTTTCCCATTTCAGACCATGTGTCATTTCCTATAATATTATTTCTTTGTTTAACGGTTGCACATG